AACGGGGTGGGGACAGACAGGGAGAGGGAGAAAGGGACGACATAGATGTGACACGTTCGCGTTCCCAGAGCACACAAAGAGGTTAAAGAGTTCTTCGTGGCATTCCTGGAACGTTTCCTGAATCTGAAATTATGGCCAAATAACAAGTTAGGAAACAGGGTTTTTTCTTAAAGCCCTGGGTGGCATCCCCATCTGTCCCTCGAGAGCCCGCCTGGTTTGAGCCCCTCTCCCTGCTCCTCCCGGAGGTCTCTGGTCTGGGGGTAGGTGCCAGGCGTGGACGCAGGATGCCCCCTGTGTCCTGGGCCACCACTGGAGACATTTCTGTGGCCCCTTGGAGCCACGAGTCCTTAAGCGACCCCTGCCACCCCTCCTGGAGGGATCAGAGCGGCTCTCGGAAGCCAGGAGTGTGTGTTCTTGCCAAAGGACCAGAGGTCCACTCTGCTCTCCGGTAGTGGATGGTTCCTCCACAATGAAAGAGAGGAAAACCAGAGCACAGATGGGGGATCACAGGCTGTTCCTGGAAAGAGCTGGGTGGCAAACATTTTGGGTTTGGCAGGGCACAGGGTCCCTACTGCTCAGCTCACCAGCAGCTGCAGGGGAGACATAACCAGGTGGGCGGGCCACGTGCCAATAAAACTTTATTTAGAACCACAAGCAGCAGGCTGGACCAGGCCCGGGGCCCTCCCGGTGCTCCGAAAGGCCCCTGTGAAGGACTGCGTGGCGGAAGTTGGGGAAAGCTGTGTGTCCGTCAGCAGGAAATTGGGTGAGTAACTCCAGGCACCTTCTGGGGACAGAACACCATTCACTGGCGGAAAGGGTCGTGTATATAAGGAAAACTATAAAAGCCAAGTTAATACAAACCGAGGACAGTACGATGTTTATGCAAAACGTTTAAGCTGTACACAGAACACTCCTGAATACGGTCCGTGTGTTCCTAAGGATGTATGTAAAAACGGTCTTTCAAATTTTTATTTTTTAAAAATACGACAAGTCCTCTCTACCCGCAACGTGGCCTCAAGCTCACAACCCCTAGATCAAGAGCCCCACGCCCCACCAGCTGAGCCAGGCAGACGCCCCTAAAAGTGTTTTTAAAGAACAAAAAAGGGGCACCTGGGGGGCTCAGTCTGTTCAGTGTCTGACTCTTGATCTCAGCTCAGGTCTTGATCTCAGGGTCGTGAGTTCAAGCCCCACACTGGAGCGTATGGGGGGGGAAAAAGGAACAGAAAAGACAGAGACGGAGAACAGTGTCACTGGGGAGAGACGGGGGGGTCTGGAAGGAAGCTCACTTTGTTTTATCGCCTTAAAACACAGACCACTGGGGAGAGGTCAAAGCCACCCCCTCGGGGTCCTCATGGAGGCCACGGGGCCCTCCTGGAGCACACCTCGGCCCAAGTCATTTGCTGCCGCTGCCCAGGGCTGAGGACATTGAAGTTGAAGGTCACCGGCCCTCATCTTCCTAACCGTCCACTGACCTTTCCAAATGCAAGTCAGGCCACATGGCTCCTCCCCTTGGCCTACCTCCTCCCCACGGTTCCCCATCACATTGGGTGAGATGCAAACGCCCTGCCAGTTCCCGCCAGCCCCTGCGTGGCCCTCCCCTCTCCCCTACTCCCTCTCCCCCCATGGCTCACTTGGCTCCAGCTACACCCACGAGGAAAGGTCCTGCCCTGGGGCCTTTGCACAGGCTATGCCCAATGCCTAGACCGCTATCCCTAATTTCCACATAGCTTAATCCCTGTCATTCCAATTTCACTCAAAAGCCTCCTGAAGGAGTCTCACTGTCCACACCCCATCTGTTTTCACTTGTTCCCCGTCTTCCCCAGTGGACAGTGTGGCCCCCCACATAACCCCAGGCCCAGCATGGCCCTGGCATGGGGCAGGGGAGGCAAAGGGCAGCGAGGCAACAACTGTTAGAGTGTGACTGGGCCGTTCCCCGCCCCGAGGTGTTGACGGGATCGCGTGTGCTCGCAGGACACGACACCCTCACACGCATGCCTCTCGCTACACGCCCGCCTCGCCTGCAAAACGCCATCTCGGTCGAAACATGGGTTTGGACGGCGTGGGGCCACCTGTCCCGGACCTTTTACAAGATGGCCCGGGGATGGTTTCCTCCTCCTGAGTGGTTTGGTCACTCCCTCTAGCTCGCTTCAGGGACCTGGCAGGTAACACACGGGCCGACCAATGGCTCGTGCCATGGCGAAGGCGGACTGTGGCTCTCGACAGCCTGTGCTAAGGCTCAACCGTACCCAGAACCCACATGGGAACCCTATTCTCAACATGAGAGATCCTGCACACCCACCGGCACCGAGCAGCCACACGGAAAAACCCCAGCCGGGGTCACCGGTGGCTTGTTTTCCTGGTGTTTGTCAGTCAGGGGAACTTTCCGGGTATAAAGGAAACCTCTGTGTACCTTAACACGAGCAGATCTCGGCTGGTTTTCCTCCGCAACTTGAGGAGTTCGATGCAGGGGGCTGGGGCAGGGGCCGAAGCCACCTTCCAGCCCAGGGGGTCAGAAGGGAGATGGCCTGAGAAGAGGTGGCTGTGACCCTGGGGACGGGGGATCCCAAGCCGCCCCGCTCCAGGCCCCCAGCCCGTGCTCCTTGGTCACCCAGCACTGGGAATGCAGAGCCTGCCCACCTCCCCCCAGCGGCCAGCCTGTCCCTCAGCCTGCAGCGCTGTCACCCACGTCCTCCCTGCGGCGGCCACCGGAGGGCGTCTGTGAGCACCCCACAGGGGGAGCATCACACAGCTCACCTCCGGGATCTCCCCACCGCCCTCAGAAACCCCAGCAAACCCCAAGACCACACGTGGTCTGTCCTCCCCCGCACCCAGAACGTAAGCACCGAGGACAGACCTTTCTTTGTTCTGAGTGTCACAGAGCTGGACACACGGACACTGTCGAAGGACTGACAGATCAGGGTGACCCCGAGAGGGGTAAGCCCCAGATGGGGTCCTCCTGTGCAGCGGGGAGGCAATGGGGGCTCCCAGGCCTGGAGCAGAGACCCGGGGCCAGACACCCCCTCCACCAACCTCGAGTGACTGTGCCCTGGCCACGACCTCCCTGGAGCCTGGTTTGGGGCTGGGGCGGGCCTTTGCACAGCCTGCTGACCCCCTCCTGGGTGGAAAGTGTTCCCCCAAGTCCACGTCCGCCGGAACATCAGCGCGTGACCTGACCAGGAAGGAGGGTCTGCAGGTGCAATGAGTCGAGAGGACTCGGTGCTGCCCACAGGTGGGCCCCGACACCATGCCTGGGGTCCCTAACAGCAAGACAGAGAGAGCCTGCCTCGCAGAACGTGCGAGTGCGCCCCGAGCAGAAACCCCCCATGGCCTCGGGAGAAAGCAGGCCTGCCCGCTCCCTGACCCCCCCCCCGACTTCTGGCCTCTCGCACTGGGAGCAGCACCCTGTCTGTGGCCCGGCGCGGTCCCAGGGGACGACGAGCTGGTCTGCACCCCCATCTGGCAGCTGGGGGGCAGGAGGGGGTGGGAACAGCCAAGTCCTGAGCACCAGCCCCCGGACAGGACACGTGAGGCTCATCGTTCGATATGGCTTTATTTTCTGATCGTCCAAGTGCATCCCACAACCAGCCGGAGCCGACGACCCGCCCTGGGAGGAAGGACACCCACTCGCCAGCGGCCCGCCTGCACGGGGGACGAGTCTACACCAGTCCCCGCGTCCTGCCCCCCAGAGGTGGCCGGGCTGGCTGGGCACTCAGTAAACAGTCTGGGGGAAGACAGGCCACCCAGCAGGGCAAAGTGGCACAGGCAGGAAAGGCTGTGGCTCCCATGCCCGCCGCTCTCCTGGCCTGGGGGGCCTGGAGGGCTGGGATGCAGCCCTACCAGTGAGGATGGGGCTTGCCGAAGGCAGGAGGCTCAGGACGGAGGCGGAGACGCAGCCCCCTGGAGCCTGTCTCCTGCAGCGAGCTGGCTTCTGGGGGCTGGCCGGGGACACACGGGGGGATCTAGTCCCCCTGCTCCTCCACAGCCTCCATGAAGGCCTCCCTGGAGGCTCAGGCAGGGGCCCAACCCCCTTCTCCCTCACCCTGAACCCCCCGGCAGAGAACACCTAATTGATTATATTGCTAATGAATCCGTTCGCCTGGGTCTCCCTGAGATCAGTCTCAGCAGCGCTCAACACCCCCTCCGCACCCTTTCCCTTCCAAGGAGCCTGACTTGTGGGGTTCAGGCCTGGACCTTCCTCCCCAGGTCCCAGGCCCCGGGAAGGGCAGCCCTGTGGGGCCCGCAGCTGCACCTTCTCCAGCACAGGGTCTCCCTTGACCCCCAGTCTGGACACCCTCCTGGGGGCCCAGAACACACCCTCCTTTCTGTGGATGAGGTGGCGGAGGCCCAGCGAGCCCGAGGTAAGGGGCAGAGAGGGAGAGGCCTTCTCTCTCCTCCACGGCCGCCTCCTGCCCCAGGGGCTCCGAAGGTACCCAGGTTCCTGGGGGACAGGCCCCAGCCCTCTGGGGCCTGGCGGGGCGGGGGCAGCAGGCGGCAAGAAGCACACGCAAAGGCGAACGGCGCGGGAGCCGGACCGGGGAGGCCGCGGGTCTTCAGGGCACCAGCGTCCACTGGGGCTCAAGGGAGTCACGTTCCAAGGCCGCACCCTGAGGCGGCTACCCTCGGCCCAGGCCAGTGTGGGGAAATGCGAGGCTTCTGAGGGAGGGGCCAGAACCTGGGGGTCCTTCTTCAGACAGGACAAGCACCCACGTCACCAGAGTGGGATCAGGGCGGGGTGGCGGGCAGGCCAGGGCCAGTGAAGGCGGCCCCCTGCCCCGCAGCCTGCGGTTCCCGCTCAGCATCACGGCCAAGAGGAGGGACATGGAGGACGTGCGGGGGCATCTCCTCGGCCATCCCGCGGCCAGCGAGGCCTGATCAGGGGCAGCGGGGCCGGGAGCTCATCCACATACTTGTCCCCAAGTCCAAGGCCCGGCCCTGGGCCCTCCAACAAAAGCTCCTCCGAGGGAGTTCAAGGACAAAAAAGAGAAAGAACCCCCAGGTCCTCAAGAGCAACACAGAAAAGCTCTGTAATTCAGGGCTTCGGCCGCGGAGCCCGGGGTGCAGCCCTGCCCTCCTGCCGGCCAGGAGAGGGGAGGGGCGGCAGGCAGGGACTCGGCACCGGCGAGGGGCCACGTCACTGCGTCTTGGCCTTCACGAGCAGTCTCTGGACTGTTTTGTACAGGAGGTCGAAGTGCTGGGGGCAGCGGGGAGGCTCCCGTGAGGCCGAGGCCCCGCCACCACGAGGAAGGCCCGAGTGCCACCGGGGGTCGTCTGCTTCTAGGCAGGGTTAGGGCCGAGGACTCGCCCGGCCTGGTCCACCCACTGTAGGGGCCCAGCCTCCCACATGAGCCTCTACTCAGCAGTGCTCACCTGGACCGCCGTGTAGGCCATCCCGAGGTAGGCGCCAATGCAGACGGCCAGGAGCAGGTCGAAGATGGCGGGCTTGACCCTGGGGGGAAGCGGGGCACCCGAGAGTCAGGGGAGGGTCTGCCGCTGGACCATGTGCCTTGGGCCGTGACCGGGGGCACCACTCACCTATAGGCGTTCATCACCTGCTTCAGCTGGTCATAGAAGACGAACTCGGGGTCCCTGCGGAGACAGCGCACTCACCTGGTGCCCCGCGGCCTCCCGCAGCCCCCAGAAGTCCCACCAGCCCAGGAGCAGGAGGCCACGCGCGTGCCCGTGTGTGCGCACGCACGAGGCCACGCGGACCCTCCTGGGGCAAAGACTGGCTTCTACTCCCTGTTGCTTTATTCGGGTGTCAAATTGTACTCGTTAAAAACGAAATAGGGGTCGCCGGGGTGGCTCAGTCAGTTGGGTGTCCGACTCTTGGTTTTTGCTCAGGTCATGATCTCAGGGTTGTGAGATGGAGCCCTGCGTCGGGCTCCATGCTCAGTGTGGCGTCTGCTTGAGATTCTCTCTCCCTCTACCTTGCCCCTCCCCCACCGTGTGTGCGTACACTCTCCTCTCGAAACAAATAAAATCTTTAAAAAAAAAAAAAAAAAGGACTAGAGTCACTGTGTGAGTGTCTAGTGGTCCACAGAACGTTACTACCAAGGGGAGATGGTCAGCGTCTGGGCATCAGAGACCCTGGCTCCACAGCTGGGGGTCCACTCTGAACCTCAGTGTCTTCTTCCGTCCGAGAGCCCTGACTCCCAGGCACACCATGAGTAGGGAGAAGGCAGAGGGCCAGCGAGGGGCCCCAAGCAGTGTGGGCTATCTCCCACCTGTGCACACCTGCAGGTTCCCGCCCTACCACGAGGCCCTGCGGCGCTAGCTCGGCCCGTGGTGGGAGGGGCATAGGCCAGATGGGGGACCCGGGCACAGAAGGACCAGAGAGCGGGTGGTTTAGAGCTACCCGATGAAACGCAGGACGTTGGTTACGTGTGGATTTCAGATGAAGAAGAACTGGCTCCTGGCGTAAGTATATCCCAAATGCTACACGAGATATACTTACACTAAGAACATACTCATTTCTGTGGAACTCCCGTTTAATCGGATCCCCGTACTTTCCGTTTTACTCTTCGTCCTGTTTCCACCGGCTCGACCTCGCCCCCCGGGGGGCTGGCCGCGCAGCCACGGGGCGCTGGCGGGGGCAGCGGCGGACTCACCGCTTGTCGGCCTTGATGTGGTGTGGCTTGACCTCCTTCAGGTAGCGGCTCAGGTAGTGCTCGAGCGTGCTGAGGAACGTGCCGTCCTTGTCCACCAGCTGCGCGGCCCGCGGCTGGTTGGTGAGCCAGTCCATCACCGAGTCCAGCTGCTCCTGCTGGATCTGCTGCGGGGGGGGGCCGAGGTCACGGGAACCACCCCCCCGCCGCCCCTGCCGCCCCACACCACCCGGCCCCTGCCGTTACCATCTGCTCCGTGAAGACCGGCATGTCTGGGGGGGTCCCCTGTGGAGAGAGGAGGGGTGGCCCTGAGTCCGACCCGTGGGCTGGGGGGCGCCAGAACCGGGGGGTGCGGGGGGCGCCTCACCTTCTCCGTCAGGTTGTAGATGACGCGGGTCAGGGCCTCTGCGATGAGCCTGGTGTTGCGGGTCAGCGTCTTAGAGTCGACCCGGGACCTTAACACAGGCGTGGGAAAAACAGGCGTGGGCATCTGGAACCCGCGCCCGCCAAGCTCACCGGAAGAGCATAGCTGTGTCTCCAATGACAACAGGAGACGGGCCGCGGCCTGCTCGGGGGGGTACCCAGCCCGCATCTGCCGGAAGGACCGCGGCCCTGGGCCTGTTTCCTCGCCGCAGATGTGGGGGTGGCTGGGGGACCCCCGTCCACCGTTGTCGCAGGCAGGGCTGAGGTGATGCCGCGGGGGGCGAACGGCATCACCCATGCTCACCCCCACCCAGAACCCAGGAACGGCGCCTGATTTGGAAGCCGGGCGTCTGCGGACATGGCGAGCGCCAGAGCACAGCTCCGCGTGGGACGGTGGGTGTCCTCATGCGAAAGGGGGAGACCATCTGTGACCGCGGGAGCAAAGACTGGGGGACCACAGGCCAGGGACATCCAGTATAGCTGGCGACACGCAGACCCGGAAAAGGGGCTTGGGTGCAGAACAGAGCTGGCCGCTGGTTGCTGACGGGAGCAGGTGGGGGTGCTGGGCTGCTGGGGGGAGCCGGGGGAGCACTCTCCTCGGCTCCCACTCCCTCCACCCTGGAACGCCCTTCTCCGGGCCCATGCCCCTCAGCCTCAGCATCCCCTCCTCCAGGAAGCCTCCCTGATGCCCCAGGAACCGTCCACAGCCCTGCCCACACCTGCTCTCTCTCTGGGCCTCGCCCGAAGCCAGGCAGCGTCTCCTGCAGGCCCAGCTGCTCACCCCCCAGCAGACACACGGCCAGCAGCTGGGCCAGGCCCAAGTGCACGTGGCCAGACCGGCCCAGACCCAGCCCCACGGCCACCATAAACCCTGGCCCTGCGGAGCGCTGACACACCACTAGGAGACCCGGACGGGAAATGAAATCCTCCACTGGCAGAAGCCAGAGAAGCCCAGCCTCTTGACGAGAGCTAACGCAAGGCAGGAGAGGTGGGGAGGGCTCCGAGGAGGTGTGAGGAGATGGGGCACCACTCTCCAGGCCTCCGCATGGCCGTGTGAAGGCCCAGGGGCAGGAACCACAGCCTCTGAGTCACAGGGCAGACCACAATGCTCGGCGTCTGAGGGTCACAGGTGGGGTCTGGATATCACATGTGGGGGCCAGAAGACCCCAAACCACTCCCACGTGCCCCCCGTCCCTAATAAGGGGGGGCTCAGGAACCCGACCCCAGCTCCCCCGTCACCGGGCTCAGGCCCCCCGCCCTCCCGACACCCCACATTCCAGGTCTGTTCCTTCCAGGTGTCTGTCCACGCCGCGGCCCCGCAGAGATCACCCCTGGTGGCAGACAGCGGGGAGGTCCTGGGGCCACGCTCACCTCACGTCCATGATGCTGCTGCGCTGGCCGTCGCGGTGGCTCTCCAGGTGGGACAGGGTGAAGGCGGGCAGCCGGCGGATGGCGAAGCGCTCGTGCTCCCAGGCCAGGATGTCCTCCGCCAGGTTGATCTTCTTGTGCACCATGGAGAACCGGACCTCCGGGAACTGGTGGGCAGCCACCTGCGTGTGGGGGCGGTCAGCCTGGCGCCCGGCCCCGCGGTCCCACCCCGGCTCGGCTCACGGATGCTCCCGGGGCCCTGATAGCCGGGAGGGTCCAAGCCCTGGATCCCACCGAGGCCCCGGGCCAAGCTGCGGCAGGAAGGCACCTACCGCCTCCAGCTCGCGCAGGAAGGCGTGCTGCAGCGTCCCCTCCCGCGGCGGCTTGGACACGTGCAGGTGCAGCCTGTCCCCGCGGCCCACGGTGTCCAGGCACAGCACAAAGGCCACGTTGTCCTGGAGCAGACTGGAGTCTGCGGGGCAACAGATGGTTGGGACAGGCGGGGAGCAAGGACCCCGGCACCCCATCTCCCCAGCTCCCCCGGGGGCCGCTCACCCGTGTGGTCCAGGTTGTCCTCCAGCCACCGCTTCGTGCCCTGGTAGTTGAACTTGCCCCCTCCAGAAGCAAAGAAGAGAAGGTTGTACCTGGCATGAGGGCAGCAGGGGGTCGGCGGTGAAGGAGAGGGACCAGGACCACGACCCCAGCGAGCAGGTGGTCCCCCCCAGGTACTGAATCCCGACCAGCCCCCAGAGCAGGGTCTCCCCATCCCAGCATGGCTGACTCTCTGGGGGCTGGGGCCACACCCCTGCACCCCACTCCCTCGAAGCCAGGAGCCAGGAGTGCCCCCAGGGTGGCGAACACAGACACCCCCAGACAGGACCCTGTGGGCCTGGGGGACAGGATCTGGTTAGGGCTCAGCTCCAGGCCCATGGGGGAGGGGGCCTCAGCACAGACCCTGTTACTCCCAGGTACACGACCCCCACACGCAGCAACCCGCCCTCCCGGCAGCCCCTCCCGCCGGCCGTACGCCGCGTGCGTGCGCTTATAGGTGTAGAGCCTGGAGAAGAGTCGGGCGAGCTCCAGCAGCACGGAGATGCCGCTCCCGTTCGAGTCCGCACCGTGCGACAGCCACTGCGGGAGGGAGACAAGGCCAGCGGTGAGCCCCAGGTCCTGCCCGGCACCTCGTGGTCCCCATAGCAGCAGCCAGAGCAGGCCCCGGACAGCCCCGCCTTGCCACCGGACAGCTCCCGGCTCCGCTCCCACCCCCAGGAGGACGGCACCCCATGTCTGCAGGGCTGAGCCCCCGGGGCCCGGGCCCTTCCAGCTCTCCTGCTCGCTCCCCAGCACTCTGCCCCGGGGCCCTGGAGCCCAGGGGGGCCGCATCCGTCTGGAGTCAGAACCTGCCCCAGGAGCGCGGCATGCCCATACTATCGCGAGGGGGGTCGGAGCGGGTTCCCTCCACTGGGGCAGACCCCGACCCATCTAGCTCCTATGATCGGAAGCAACGTGCCCAACCACGTGGTAAGGGGACCTTGGAACCCTCCTAAGGTCACGGTCCACACGCAGACATATCATACATCGACAATACTGAAATTCAGGGGCAGAAGATGACACGATGCGCACGGGGGGAACCAGATAGGAGGCCACACGGGGTGTGAATCCACGCGTGTGACACGCCCCAACTAGGCTCCTCCATGGACAGGAAGGGGACCGCGGATGCGGTGTGGCTTCTGATGGGGACAGGGCTTCGTTCAGGGGAGATGAAACCTTCGGGAAGTCAGTGACCATGGTTGCACAACTCTGTGAGCGTCCCACTAAACTACGCGGTTTAAAAGAACAATTTAAATGTTACAGGGCATCTGGGTGGCTCAGTGGGTTAAGCCTCTGCCTTTGGCTCAGGCCATGATCCCAGGGTCCTGGGATCAAGCCCCGCATCGGGCTCTCTGCTCAGCGGGGAGCCTGCTTCCCTCTCTCTCTCTGCCTGCCTCTCTGCCTACCTGTGATCTCTGTCAAATAAATAAAATCTAAAAAAAAAAAAAAAAATCGTTACGTGAATTCCATCTCCGAAATAAGTAAAGACACTCTGTGGTAGGGGGAGGAGATTGGGACAAATCATCTCAAAGGGCTGCTGGTCGGGTGGGAGGGAGAGGAAGACCGGGCTGAGCCTTCTGGGCGGACCGCTGAGGCCCTGGCCTCACAGGCGGGGCAGCGCTTGGGACAGCCGCACTGTGGGTCCCCTGGTCAGGACCTCAGGCCACTATTGGCAACCTCTTTGCTCAGGTGGTTTTTCTTCCAAAGCAAGACCTGCCTGAGGAAGAGCAGACACTGTTCACGCTCTGGTGTGAGCCCTGACCTCGCCGTGGTGGGGGCTCTGAGAGCATGGCCCGGGGGAGGCGGGTTTGCGAGGCTGGCCCTCCGTGGCGTCTGCAACCGGACTGTGGGCTCTGGCCAGCCTTGCTGCTGGGAGGCTCGGGTCCCTGGACCGTCTGTGCACATGCGAGGTTTGGGCTGAGCGCCTGCTCCCCTCCCCAAGTTGGGCAGACGGGCCCGCGAGACCAACCCTGCAGAGAACCCAGCGCTGGGTCTCTGCCAGCCCCTGGAGACCATAACCACACACGCACAGTCCTGTCTCGTTTGGCGGGAACTAAGCATGTCCTGTGGGACACCCCGAGAGAGAGCTCTGGGAGATCCCGCCTGGTGTCCCCACCCCCGCCCCCCACGGCCCCACCCTGAGCTCATTTTGCCTCCTGTCCTGTCTGTATAAACCACGGCCATGGGGACGACTATCTGCTGGGCTATGGGGTCCTCTCGGTACATCCCCGCACCTGGGCCTGGGGACGGACAGGGACACCTGGTCTCGATCCGTGGCCCGGCCACCTATCGGCCGTGGGACTCCGGCCACGGGAGCTGCCTCAGATTAGCCTGTTTCTGCTTCAGGACGATGCCCGGCCCCGGGGCCCTCCGAGGTTCGGCCAGAGCAGCACGGGGAGGGGGGCGCGCGCATACGTACAGGGGCCACTCCGAAGGCATCGTAGTGGGCCACAATGACGATGGTCGGAAGGTCTTCTCCGCCTAGCCCAGTCAGCCGCCCCTGCGGAGACACAGTCTGTGAAGGGGCTGCTGGCTGGGGCCCCAACGGCCAGAAACAGCCCCGGCCACACTCACAGGTAGGGCAGTACTTCCGACGCTGCGAGCTGTCACGGACGATACGTGAACCAACGGCTGTGCCCACGTGTCCATAAAACTATTTGCAGAAATGGTCAAGAGGGCCATAGCCTGCTGCCCCACCCAGAGTCCAGCCCGTCCTTCAGGACGGAGCCCCAGGCCACCGGGGGTGCTGGCGGGAGAGCTCTGCGGGTGAGGCAAGCTGCCAGTACGGGACGTGGCCACAGCCCAGGTCCCGGCGCCCACAGCCCGGCTGGAGTCTCTTCACATAGGGATTGGCCCTCGCTAAAGTCACGTGCGGGACAAGCGAGAATGACCTTCCGTCAGCAATGCCTCGGCCTCCACGCCTCCCCTGAGAGCTACTCGCGGGGTGCAGAGAGGGGGTCCCACAGCGCAGCCCAGGGGTCTGTGCTGGTGCACGGCTGAGGCCGTTTCCTGAGTCTCCCATCAGAGGGCGAGCTCTGCGAAGGCCTTGGCCGTGTCGGAGGGAAGGTGTCGCTGGCATCTCTCCCCGCAGCCGGAGACCCGGGGGCACATGCTGGCTGCGGGTCCTAGCGCGAGACTGTGGACGCGCCAGACCGGGGCCACGCCGCTGCCTCTAGGGGCTCGGGGCCCCTTTCCCAACAGATGGGCCGAGGCTAGGGCTGGCTGGGTGGCCCGACGGGGCGCAGAGGAGCAGGGGGCCAGCCGAGCACCCCCACCTGCGCGCAAACAGCAGGGATGGCAAAGGGGCAAAGGGCTCAAGGCGGTGCAGGGGTTTCCAAAAGTAAACGCCAAGGCAGCCAGGCTGGCAGCTGACACAGACCCTCTCGTGGCAAGGAGGCCCCCTGGAGCCAGGCCGGCTCCAGCTGCTACTGACTCCAGCCGACCAGGCCAGCTGCGGCTCGGCCCGACCTTCCGGAGCCTGACTACGAGGCCTCTGGTCACTGGGGCCTTCTCTGCCCAAACCACCACAATCCCTCACACAGGGGGAGAGAAGGATTCCTCCGAGTTTCACTGACTGCGTAGATGCTGCGGCGGCCTCCCCACATCCTGGGTGGGCCCGTCCAGCTGCACCGACCCGCCCGCCCTCCTCCTGCACCCGGTCTGTGCAGGGCAGCCCGGGGCCTCCTGGGCCGGGCACGGTCCTCGCTGCCATAGGCCTGCAGCCTGGATGTCCCCGAGGGCCCCTGTACACGCGGGACGGGGCCACTAGGGGACGGGGCCGCTAGGCGATGGCACCTACTGTCCTGCCAGAGCCCTTCTCCACTGTGTCTAAGTGCCCATTTGCTGCCCTCAGACCTCCCCACCTGCCAGTGAGGCCTTCACGGAAAGAGGGCACCTTGCCCGCTGCCACCGCCTGCACACAGCGGGGCTCAGAAGGCGCTCACGGAGAGGCGGACTCACTTAGTCCTGGACAGGGAGGCGGTGGCTGCGAGCCCGGGTCTGCCCGAGCCCCACCTGCGCGTGCACGCCGACACCAGGTGGGGGCAGGCAGCCGGGCACCATCCGGCGTAAGCCACTGGGCCCGGGGTCCTGCGCGTTCCCTGACGCGTGCTCGCTGAGGGTCTCCCGTGCTCCAGAACCCTGGTTAGGCTCCAAGGACACGACAGAAGCCGTGATGTGCGGTCTCAGCGCCTCTGGCACTCGGGCTGACGGGAAAGAAACTGAGGACACGCGGCTTCCCGACGGGTCGAGTGGGACCATCACTCAGGAGAAAGTGAAGCCACAGTAGGTCCAGCGCGTCAGCGCAGGGCTCCGGCCCCAGGCGTGTGCAAAGGCCTTGCCTGCCGTGCTCCCACAGGGGAGGCTGCCCCCACTCCAGACTCGGGCACACGGGCACGAGCAGGCTGGCGGGCCGCCACCGAGCACTCACCCCTCGCCCCCTAGCCCTGTGCCTTCATGGCCGGGGAGACCCCCTCACCGGTGTGCAGACACGACGATGCAATGACACCTCGGAGCAGACGCTGCCCACCTCACGGTTCTCCACTCCTCGCCCTCCCCTGCCCAGGGCACACCCCACCGCCGGCCTGCCGTCCGCCCCCCACCCCAGGTGCATGAGGGAGAGAGAGCGGCAGAGTCGGGGGCGCCTCTGCCCTCAACACTTGCTTACACCACCACCGGGCGTGAGGACAGGCTCGACTCCTTCACGTTTGGCGGCTTGAACCGGCTACTTCCCCACCCAGAGCTCGGCTCCCTCCCACATCGGCAAAGCTCTGAACAACAGGGGTGTGCGGCCCCAGAAAGTTCTGAGGGCTTCTAGGAATGCAACACTGGGGACACTGTAACATGACGAGAAGGGGCAGCCCCCGTGCGAGGGAGACCGCTCTGCAAGGCAGGGACCACCGGTGCAAAGGCCCTGAGGCAGGACAAGGAGGCTTGATGTGCAGCGGGAGCTGGTGGGAGACTGGACCCGATTTCCCGATCAGAAGTTCCCCCCAGGGGGAGGCGTGGGAGTCAACTCGGGGAGCCCGGTGCCCCCCTCCCCGGGTCTCCACGTGGCAGGCAGGGCCGGCACTCACCTCCACACTGGTGATGAGCCAGTCACTCACGGCCTTGCTCTGCACCCCACTAGTGACCATCTGGAAGCCGTTGGCCGTGGCGGTGTGGAGCAGCACTGAGGACAGGTGGGGGGAGGTCAGCCCGTGTGCTGGGGGTTCCCGGGCCTGAGCTGGCCTCCCCACGGCCCCCACGCCTCAGACAGTAGGGGTCCGGTCTAAGCCCCACTGTATGCAGAAGCGACCCCGTGACCTGAAGCACAACTTGAGACCGCACCCGGGGAAGGGCCCGGCATCCGGAGCGAGAGCTGTTGAGCCCACCGCGCAGCCCCAGGCCGGCCGGCAGGGGAGACTCCGAGTGCCGCCTGCCACTTGCACGGGGGCGAATGGAGCATCAGGCGGGTCTTTTCTCGGGGCGTTTCTTCGACTACTTCTGCTAGCTCATTCCCCATAGCCACCCGCCCCTGCGCCAAGCTCATGGACGTCCCCGGTCCCCAGAGCAGAAGAAACCTGTGTCCTCCTCTCCCCAAGGACACGGCTGCCCCACCCGAAGGGCTCCAGCATGATGGGGACGCCCTGTCCTCAGCAGGTAGAACAGATAAAACCCACCGGATGCCCACAGGTTCGACAAGCCAGAGGCCGGCCGGGACAGCCCTCCCTCCAAAGGAGCGTTTCTCAAGCTGCTGTTCGCACAGAATCAGCGGCTGTGGGGGAGAGGGGGCCAGAAACTGCACAGCCTTGGCTGCAACCCCGAGACGGGGGCGCGGCAGGCCGGAGCTGGCCCGCTGACCCACACGGCTGGGTACTGCGCCACGTGCCCACTGGGAGACGGGGCCCCAGAAGCCGCCTGGCATGGCCACAGCCCGCCCACTCCTGCAGCCCAGGCCTACCTTCGGCAGCGGAGGCCGAGCCCTGGGCGGCGGACGCGGCCTGCGTCTGCTCATAGATGGACAGCAAGGCCTCGTCCTCCACAGCGAAGTAGACGGGGACCACGGTCTCCATGGCCAGCATCTCCGGCTCGGTCTCCATGAATTGCTGTGGAAGAGACACCCGTTTAGGGGGCTCTTAGGCTGGGGGAGAGGCTGCCCAGGGGCCTGTCCCAGGGTGCGGGCACGCCTCCTCTGCAGTTGGCCAACAGGGCCAGGATTGTGCTGGAAAACAGGACGGAAGGGGGGCCGAGGGTACAAAGAGGACAAGGACGGAGGGACGGGTGAGGCGGCAATGCCCACGGGGCCCCCGGGCGGGACCCATCAGGGAGCAAGCAGGTCGGGAGGTCAGATCTGGTGTCCCTGTGGGCTGCTCCCAGCCCCACCGCCCGTCACACCCTTCGCTGTGGGCGGATGACAGACGCTGGCACCCTGGTCTGATGGCAGCGACCCCCACCACGGGTGGGCACAAGGTGCCCGGCACCAAACAGGACGGCAGTCAGCGTGAAGTCCCCTCCACCACCCGACACCTGCTCGTCTGCCAAAGCGTCTTCATCCGAGCTGTCTCCCGAGTCCTGTCAGGACACTCTCTGCCCCAGGCACTGTGGCCATCAGGCAGGTCACTCTGTGGGGCGTCCTGGGTACTGGGGGAACAGAGCAGCGCCCCCAGCCCCATCCACTGGATGCCAGGAGCTCCCCAATCCCTGTGAGCACAGATGTGCCCAGACACGGCCCGGTGACCCTCAGGGACAGGATCCGTCTGGGCAGGAGGGGGCGATGACAGGAGGCGAGCCAGCACCGTCCCGCCTCCTGAAGGGCAGAGGGCAGAGGAGGTGAAGGGCCGCGCCTGGGGCCTCCCGCCAACCCCCAGCCCGGCCCAGCGCTCTTCCTCCGGCCACAGGCAGGGCGGACACTCACCCGGATGACGTCCTGCGGCACGGCGGCCATGGCCCGTGGCAGGATGATGACCACGGCGCCGGCCGACTGCCGCAGGGCCTTCTGGTACCGCCCGTAGGAGAAGTCCAGCAGCCGCATGAGCACGCAGCGGCGGCTCAGCACGTCCGCGTCGATGGTGCGGGCCTCCGTGTTGAGCACTGCGTTCCGCGTGCCTGCGGGAGGGCAGGGAGGGCCTCCCTCAGTGGGGCGCCGGGACCCCCAGCTGGAGACCACCACGTCCGCCACGGCCAGCCCCTCACTGCCTAGCGGTGCGGTGTCCGCTCCAACCCCGGTGAGTCGCGACTCCCTCCCCGGACCCTGTGGGGGTCCAGGCAGCATTCCCCACGTGCTCGGTGCCGCCGGAGCTCTCCCCGGCACGACAACCACAGATGACCCCAGACATCACCCAGGGTCCCCTGGGACAGTATCACCGCGGGCGGGAGCCCCTGCTCCGCATCCAAGGGCCCGTCCCACCTCTCTTCCCAGGGCTGAAGAAAGCTCCAGAAAATCAGGGAGAGCTCCAGCAGGAGTCCCGGGGAACCGGACCCCGCCCCCACCCGAAGAGAAGTGGGGACTCAGAACCAGGGCGGTGCAGACTTTCTGAAGGCCAGCGGGGATCTCCCCCTTACACAGGGCACCCAAGCGTGGACATTAGACGCGGGACCGAGGAGCCGCGCCGTCTACCACTTCCCACCCGCGCTGGCACATGGCTGACCCTCAGGGCCATCTGTCCCCATTCGCTGATGGGAAAGGGGGTGCGGCCAGCTCCCAGGGTCCTGGCGCTCAGCTGGGACGCTGCCAGAAATCCCACTTTGACGTCCGATCACCCAAACAGCAAAGATAAGCCACGACTCCAAATGCCTCAAAAGCTGCAGGCCGACCCGGGATGTGCGAAACAAGCGAACCATAAGGCCCATGGGGCGGACACGGCCCCCCGCCCCCTGCCACAGGGTCTGCAGTTTGGGATGCGGACAGCGAGCACTCAAAAGACGCAGAGAAGCGGTCCCGCTCCCTGAGAGGAGCTCAGGCTGGTGGTCCTGGAGGTCAAGGCTGTACGGGGAGGCATCGCCCGTCCACACAGATGAGGACCTACGCTAGGCCACCAGGGGCCCCCTCAGGTCCCCGCCTCTGCTTTCCAGGAAGGTGCCAGGCAGGCGTGAGAAGGCCAGCTTCCGTGGTGTGAGGCTGGGCAGGGGAAGGCCATCTCAGGAGGAGGGGGAGCAGGGGTGGGCCACGGGCCCCAGGGCTGGAGGGGGTGGTCCCCGCCTCTACCCCTCCCAGCCCTTGAGGGGCCTTTTCTCTGACTGAGGCCACAGCAGTGAGAGCTCCAGGAAGGCTGAGCAGGGATCTGCAGCAGACCTTCAGGCCGTCCTTGAAGCTCCTGGAATGCCGGGAAGGCCGCTCCCCGGGCGCACCTGTCCCGCAGCTCAGCCTCCCAGAGGCGCTCCCAGTCAGCCGGGGGTGTGGACAGGGAGGGCCACCTGTAGAGCCTACTGTGCGTGTCCTCCGCCGGGTGCCCCTGCAGGGCCGGAACGCGGCCTCTGCTGTCCAGAGGGGGGAAGCCAGGGAAGGGCAAGGGGGAGGGCAGAGCTGGCTAGACGGGGGCCCCCTCAGGGCCGAGACCCTCTCGTGCTGATGGAAAGCTGCAGCCTGCACCCCGTCCAGACAGGAAGAGGCAGGCTTGGCAGACGCCACAGGGGAGGGCACCAGGCACCCGGACAGAAGTCACCACTTCTCTGCACAGGACCAGAACTGAGCAGGGGTGGCGAGCTGCTCCACCAAGGGCCAGAAGGTCAACCCTCCCACCTTGCTGGGCACACGGGCTTGGTCTCAGCGGCCTGAGACGCAGGCCAACCAGTGGCCTGTAAAGCTTTATTCTGCAAACCATGTGCTAGCAAAGCTTTATTCACAACAACGGGGGGACGAGGCGGACGCGGGTGCTGGGGGGCCCTGTGTTAGCCCAGGGAATCCGGTGAGACGGCGAGGAGCTGCCACTCTGTGCAGCCAGGTCACCTGGGAGGACCAGAGTCTGCTGGGCGGGAGGTGGGAGCTCTGAGGTCATGCCCCACGGCCTTGCACCCGGCCGATTACCCTCGGCCCCGCTCACCCCGTGGCACAGAGCACACGCCTTTCCTTCCCAGCAGCCAGTCAGCCTGCGTTTCTCAAGAGGAGTGAACAGGAAGTTAGGAAAGAAGAGAGACCCAGAGCAGGGGTTACATCAGGAGGCGGGAAGGCTGCCGGCACCGAGAGGGGAGACTGCAATCGCAATGATCCAGCAGAGCTGCTCTCGGGGACAACACCGTCCGGGAGAGGCCCGGGCTGCCCTGAGCCCCACTAGGGGCCCCGCCTCCAACCACCCACCTCCCCCGTGGGCAACGGCACCTCCTTGGCTTCTCCCCAGGTGAATGTGCCTGCTGTGCCTGGCGGGGGCCGGGAGGTGTGAGCTGCACACGGAGAGCCGGACCATCGACAGCCCTTGGCTGGGGCAGGTGGGCCTCCGCCCCCAGGCCCTGTGCTCACCCCCAGAGCCCAAGGTCTTCACAGATGCCACGCGCGAGACAGGCTGCACCTGGGCTTCTCGCTCGGAGCTAGGGACGGGGGCGCGCAGGCGAAGATGTCAAGTCACAGAAAAGAATGGGAAGGCATCCCAGGGTTGGGGACAACGGACCCAGGGAAGGGAGGACAAGGAAGAGAAAGCAGTACAGAAGCCAACTCGGATCCGGAGAAATGGTTATCTCAAGTCCTCGGACCTGGGCCTTGGGGAGGGAGAGTCCTCTGGGAAACCAACAGAGGTCTAGATCAGCCACCAGCCACACCGGGCGACTTCAGCTCATTACAACCATCCAGCACTCAAAACTCCCCCCATCCCGCCTTGCCCGAGCCACAGCTCAAGTGCCCAGGGGCCCCCTGGGGCAGCCAGCTCCGCATTAGCACACATCCACCACCCCAGAAAGTTCCACCAGACGGCGCTGGTAAAGACCCTCACCCAAGAGAACGGGAAACACCCGTAAAAACGGGCCCACGACATCGGGGGCTCCAAGAGCATCACTCACCCATGGTCGGCCCCGTGGCGCTGTGGGCATGCAGGGCCGGGTGGGTCACTGTGGGGGGTGTCCCGGGCGCTGTGCGGTGATGAGTGGCATCCCCGGCTCCCACCCACTCAATGCCAGGACCCACCCCCCGACTTGTGACAACCACGAAGTCGTCACCCAATGACCGACCACGGGGTTGACAACCACTGCTCTAAACGGCAACGGCCTTTGGGGCGAGGAGGTATGTGAAGGGAGGTCTGGACCTGCCTCCAGGGGGGCCTGAAGAGGCTCCCCAAGGACTTGGTTGGGGGTCCACAAAGCTCAGGCTGAGCCTGAGATGTTCTAACAGGAGGGCCCAGTCCAAGAGCAGATGGCCTCGGAGCGGAGACCCAGGACCGGGGAGGGGGCTCCCTTCTCGCAGGGACCTGAGGCAGCAAGCTGGAAGAAAAGCCGGAGGCCGGCAGGTCCACCAACACCAGATACGGCTACGGGCGCTCAGAATCCAGGCGCAGGGGCTGGGATCAGGACCTCGACAGCAGAAGGGACTGGAGGGGATAGCAAGGATCTGTGCTGGATCCAGGCCCGGGGGTGGGGGGGGCTGAGCGAGAGGAGAGCCAGGGCCAGAGATGATCCAGGACTCCCGGGGAGAGTGAGCACACAGGGACCTGGACGGAGGCTGAGACCAGGGGGTGGGTGTGCACCGAGGGAAAGGACAACACGCAGGGTCCGAGGACCCCCAGGAGCCCACAGGCACGGGGACTGAAAGGGGCTATGGGTGCCTGGCTCATGAGCTGGGCCCAGAGGGCTGGGAGCCTGGAAAGGTGGGCCTCGGCGGGAGCCAGGCCCGGTGAGTGATCAGAGCTCTGAGCCCCCCGCCGCGGAACACTGGCACTGAAGAGAATGCCCCGGGGTGCCCCTGGGGGCCGAGGACGGTCAGGGCTGGCGGGACCTGCCCACCGGCTGCCTCCGCCTGGCAGGAACTAAGAGAGGAGGCTTGCCTCCAGCCGGGGTCGCCGAGGGGGAGCTCTGGGCTCGGGGGCACGACCCGGCGAGAACGGACGCCGGTGGCGCGCGGGAAGGGGGCCTGGGCAGTGCGCCTCTGACCCTGCTGGGCATCAGACAGAGGGGACGAGGCCCGGGTCCAGGAGCAGAGCGGGCGCGTGGCCTGAGGGTCGGAGCGACGGGATCCGGGGCGCGCTGCCCTGTCCGGGGCGGGGGCTGCGGGGGCCAGCGCCGGGGGCACCGAGAGCCGGGCGCGTCGCAGGGCGCAAGCACGCAGGTGACTCGGCGGGGCTCGGCGGGGCTCGGCGGGGCTCGGCGGGGCTGCAGCCGGGCCGGCGGGCGCGGCGCGTCCCGGGGCCCGCGGGGGCCGGCCGCACGCACCGTAGGGCTGCCCCTGCAGGTCGTACTGCTGCATGCGGTAGACGGTGAACTCGTGCGCCGCGTCGGCGGCGGGCAGCGGCGGCGCCACGAGCAGCAACACGGCGGGCAGGAAGACGATGAAGCCGAGCGGCAGGCACGACGCCTTCAGCATGTTCTCCAGCACCTCGCCCGCTTCTTCCAGCATCCTGGCCGGCGGCGGGGCCGCGCGGGGCGGCGGCGGGCACGGGACGGCGGCGGCGGCGGCGGCGGCGGCGGCGGCGGCGGCTCCCGCGGACTCACCTCAGCATGGGTAGCCGCCGGGGTCCTGCGGGCGCCGCGCCGGGCAGACCGCGCCTGCTCCGGGGTCCTGCGGGCACCGCCACGGGCAGCCCCGTCCGCCGCGCTGCCTCCCGGGAGTCGTAGTCCTCCGGGCGCGCGCGGAGCCTCCTGGGAGTTGTAGGCCCGCTGGGTTACTTCCCCGTGGAGGACGCTGTGAAGGACCGTATGGCTAAACCTGAGGATGAAGTTTCACGTAACACGCGAGTCAGAAAAATACGGAGACTTTAAGGCAACTATTTGGAGTGGAACTTTCTCAAAAGCTGTCTTTTTGTGGTGGGGGGGGGGTGTTGGTGCGCGAGAGGTGGAGGCAGGACGTAACCTTGCGACCCGGAAGGAAGTTGGAATGAGAGCCGAGAGGGGCCAGCCTGGGGCGCGTAATCTCCTGGGAATTGTAGTCCTGTGACGCGGCGCAAGGGTTCATGGGAGCTGTAGTCTTCCTGGCCGAAGTCAGCAATCTCTTAAAACTCCCAAGGAACGTAGATGCTGAACTCCACGAGGGCAAAGACTTTTGTCTGCTTCCTGCGTTCGTGTATCCCCAGAACCCAGTGCGAGGCCTGGCACGCAGTGAATGGGTTGTAGCGTTTTTAGAAGAATGAATGAAAGAATAAAGAAATCATGATAGACGTTTCCCAAAGGGATGGCGCGGTGGGTTATGGGACTTGTAGTCTGGCGCGTGGCGTTGGGGAAGGGGTTGGTGATAGGCTTCCTTATACCCGTGTATACCTAAGGCTTACTCGTATTTGGGGCATACGTATAGTAAAAAATAAACTTCGTTGCTCATCAGAAATGCAAATTTAACCGGGGGTCCCAAACCTCTGTTTTCGAATCTGGCAACCCTAGGAACCCACTGTGTTCTGCGCAGGGGTCTGAAGGAGCATCAGTAACGCACACCCCCTCCTCCCGATGGAAAGACGCGAAAGCCCCGGTGAGCTGACGTCCAGCCTCCAATACGGCCGCCTCCCTTCTGCCCCAGGTGCGGGGTGGCGCTGACTCGCAGCATTTTGGATTCAGGTCCCTGTGCCTCCCCCCTCCCCGGCTGTGTGACCTTGGGCAGATTGCTTCACCTCTCAGAGCTCAGTTTCCCCAGCTGGTCCATAGGATGACAATACCACACCCTCCTCCCCTCCCTCTGCAGGGCTAACCCCTTACTGAAATGACCTCTGGCTGCTTGTCACTCCCAGCAGAGTGCGACCTTTATGGGAGCAGGTAGCAAGCTGTGGACAGGCACAACCGCTGCATGGAGGAGAGCCTGACAGACGGTGGTTAAGTGAATGAATGAGGGAGATGAAGGAGAAGTGAGCCCACCCCTCCGAGTCCTGTCTCTCCCAGGGAGCTCCTGGGCCCCGGGAGTCAGGGGTGGCCTGGCAGGGCCGGGGAGGGGGGGGGGGGGGGGGGGGAGGACCAGAATTCATTCTGGCCTGTGTTCTCTTCACACCTGTTCCTTCTGCCCGCACACAGGTTCTTCCAGGTCGGGCTATGAGCGCACAAGGTCTGCACACGCTCACCCAGAGATAGCCCGAGAAAGGGGCCTGACCTGGCTCAGCTAACAGGGTGCGGGCCCTAGAGCTGCTCGTGCTTCCTCCTCCCCGGAGTCCAAGTTCTTCTGTCTGGAGAGCGGAGAGATTCAACGAATCCCTAACAGGCAGGGATGAAGAAGTCGCCAGCCTGCCGCAGCCAGTGCTGAATCCCAGCACTGCCCCTTCCTAGCTGTGTGACCTTGGGTCAGTTACCTAATCTCCCTGGCTCTCAGTCTCTCCGTCTGTAAAATGGAGTTAATGGCGGTATCTTCCTCCTAGTGGATTACAGAGGAGGAAACGAGTTAATACCGAAGCGATGGGAGCTGTCCCACCAGGAGGAGTCAGGATTCTGGGGACAGTTGTGCTGCTGTCAGGGAGGGGGCCTGGGGAGTGGAAGAAGGAGAGGAAGAGGTTTCTAAGGCTTGTAGGGAGGCATGCTGTTGGGTCCAGTTCTCCCAGAGCTCTGGCCGCAGTCATGACCCAGAAACTGCCACGGTGTCCATCCTCGTGGGGCATTTAGTCCAGGGGAAGAGATGGAGGCGTGGCCAGAAGTGAGCATGGCTGCCATCAGTGCGGTTTGTGCAGGCAGCTGTGCGAGCCGAGAAGAAACCTCGGGAGGAGAAGATCAGGGAAGACTTCCTGGAGGAGGTGATGCTAAAGCCCAGACCTGAAGAAAGGGCGGGGGACAGGCAAGTTAGGACTGAGGGTAGGGACATGCCAGGCAGGGCACTATGGTGGGGACAACAAAGCAAGTGCAAAGGCCCCCAGCTGGGCAGGCCCAGCGAATAGTTCAGCTCACTCAGAAGAGAGCCTGTGAGAGCAGAGGAGGCAGCCGGGCCCATGCACACTTCAGGGTGGCCCAGGCTCTACTGACCCCCGATTCCGCCGAGTCCCTGCCCTGCCTGGCGCTGTCATGGATAACATGATGACAGGAATCAGGAAAACATAAAAATATCCCAATTTATTGTGCACCTGGACACGTGCTTGGAGCTTTATCCAGACCTCTCGGATGATGGACATGTCCTGCGTCTACACTAGCCGAGACAGTGGTCGCAAGCCCCAGGTCACTAAACATTATGGGCCGGACTATGTCCCCTCAGAGTTCACATGTTGAAATCCTCCACATGGGACGGGGTTTGGAGACAGGGTCTTTATGAGGTGATCAAGCTAAAAAGGAGTTCCTTAGGGTACGCCTGGCATCCTTCTAGAACGGTGGCATTCGGGCACAGACACCCAGGGAGGGCGCCACATGAAGGCATGAAGGCAGCAATCGGGACGGCACTTCCCGGGGCCACGAGCCTCCGAGGACACCCGCAGAATCCAGGAGAGCAGGGGGGACAGGCTCTACCTAGGAACTTCAGGTGCACCAGCCGCGCAGGCACCTCGGTTTCAGACTTCCAGCCTCCAGGACCGCGAGAGGACCCTTTTCTGTCCAGCCACCTGTTCTATGGCTCTGAGATGTGGCACCTCCAGCAGACCAATGCACCAAGAAGGTGAGTGTTTTGTATTTCATTTTCCTGCATCGTGGCTAGTGGCTGCGGGACCGGCCAGCACGGCGAACAGCTCCGGGCCGCCGCGCCCCTCGTCACACAGAGAAGCCCAGGCTCAGAGAAGAATGGTCCTGTTCCTAAGTGGCGGGCAGGTGCTGCCCCCCAAGCCCGGGCAAGACTTACAGGCACTGGCTTGCCTGGAAGGAGGGAGAGAGAGCAAGCTCTCCACCAGGAGAGGTGGCCGTGCATGCAGGGCATATCCCTGTGCCATCCAGTATGGTCACCACGAGTGCCACGGGCCATTTAAGCGTGACCAAAACTCAAAGTTCACCTCAACAGTCGCACTGGCCACTTGTCAAGCACACCACGGCCTCCGGGGCTCCCAAGGGGGACAGCATCTACCATCGTCAGAAGTTGGTCGGACATGCAGGACACCATGTGCCACGGCGAGCGCTGAGTGTGTGCCCACAGCCTCGGGCTATGGGGGTCCATCGATCCCGATCGGCCCATTTCACAGGAGGGGAGATTGAGGCAGTTAGTGCTAAAGGGAACAGGAGAGGAGTGGGCAAGATCCCCTGAGGCCAGGAGGGCCAGGCGGCTGCGACTCTGTCAGCCCCCAGATGGGGCCCCTGATAGGGCAGAGGCCAGAGATGGGGAAGAGGCCGCAGGGGCCCCAGATGAGCAAAGGGGGAGGGAAAGGGGAAGTGGAAGTGATCGAGGGGGCGGGGACCCACCTGGCAGCCCCCAGCAGCTCTCACACACCTGTGCACACACAGACACACCCCACTCTGTGCCCACCTCCCTCCCTCCTTCTCGCTTTCTCTCTCTCTGTCTCTCTTGCACACACATTCACCCACACCCTGCTGCTGCCCCGCACAACCACACCCCCAGTCCCCACAGACTCACAGCCCCCCGGCCACGGGTCCCCGTGCTTGCACGTGTCCAGCCAAGCCACGGCCCCACACTGTCGCCCCTGAAGCCCACGGGTGAATAAGAGGGAGGCTGGGACAAACCGTTTTTGAACTTCCATGTTGCCAGGCTGTCCAGCCCCACCGCCCCCGAGGCTGGGCAGGGACTGAGACTCCCCAGAATCACAAGGGAGCTGGGGTGGGGGGAGGGGGCGTTCATCGCAAACCCACTCACCCCCACTCCAGGCCCCTCCCCTTTCCGCGAGCAGCCGCCTCCTCCAGGGAGACCTCCAGGGAGGCCTCCGTGGGCCCAGGCGCTGTGAGGGGGACCGTGGGACCTCGGGACCCACTGCCAGCTGGGGGCCCTTTTTCCTGCCTCCCCCGGGGAGCCCCCGATGCTCCCCCTCAGACGCTCCGCACGCTGGAGATGCTGGTCAGGGGCTCTCGCATCCGGAAGCTGAGCGACCGCGAGCCCCGAAAGCTGTCGCGGGGCCTGAGCGAGCTGTCCGTGGTGGAGGCTGCGGAGTGGGCCTCGCCGACCTGGGCCAGGCAGTCCCGGGGCCCCTGCAGGCCCAGCCGGAGGCAGCCGCAGCAGAGGAAGGCCAGCACGGCCTGGCACACCTCCCTGCTGCGGAAGGAGTAGATGACGGGGTTCACGGCCGAGTTGAGCACGGCCAGCGCCAGGATCCAGTCCATGCCGCGCAGGTACTGCTGCGCCCAGTCGGTGGAGCTGAACACGTCGGCCAGCAGCAGGCCGAAGAGCGGGCCCCAGCACAGCACGAAGGCCACCAGGATCATGAGCACAGTCTTGAGCAGCCGGCGGGCCTTGCGGCGGGCCGGCGAGCGCGGCGCCTTCTGGCCGTTGGCGCGCACCACGCGGAAGATGGCCCCGTAGAGCGCGGTGACGGCCGCCAGGATGCAGGCGAAGACGCCCACGCAGAAGAGGATGTAGGCCTTGGAGTAGAGCGGCAGGAGGCTGGAGCAGCGCGCGAAGGCGCACACGCAGTTCCAGCCC